TTTTTTCTTCATTGATTTGTCTTTTTAATTCTTCTGCTAATTCTTCTGTGTTATTTGCGATTAATTCTGTGTATTTCTCATTACATTTTTCATGCAATTCGTCAAACAAATCTTTGCTAAAGGTTTATCTTTTAATTGATTGATAATCTTTTTCAAAATAGCACCCTCATCATGTTTCAAATCTTCAATCTTTACATTTTTATTATTTATTTCTTTTAATATCTAATCGTATATCTTAACATAATCTCTTCTTTCTCTTTGATGCGTATCATAATCTTTTCTAATTTCTGGGTATTTGTTACAGATCATATCAATTTCCAAATCAAGTTTTTCTTTATCTTCCAATTTTTTCGCCGATTTTGATGTTTTGATTATTTGATCGATTTCTTGTAATCTTTTTTGTTCTTCTTCGGTTAAACCTTCGAATTCTGGAGGTTCAAGTTTATCTGGTTCAATAGGTTTACCTTCCAGTATGCTTTTTTCGATCTTTATGTTATTTATTTTTCCGTTATATTTTTCTGTTAATGTTTTAACTTTTCTTTTTTATTATCGGTGATTTCTTTTTTTTCAGCTTCCTTCTTTAATTCATTGATGGTTTTGTAATGTAAAGAATTTTCATGATTTAATGCGGGAATAGCTCGATTCTTTTTGAAATCGTTTAATAGATTTTTGACCGTTTCGCTGCTATAATGTTCTTCAAGCAATTTCTTGAGATAATCAACACGTTCTTTACCATGACTTTCTAACGTGAATTTCTTAATTATTTCATTTTCTTCATCTTTGGTAACTGTCACAAGGGATAATTGTTTCTTTAACTATTTTATGTCTTTTACTGTTTGTTCTTTATCATTTGCAAGTAATCGTTCTTTTGCTAATTTTTCGATTAGATCGATGATTTCAAAAATGCTTTTTGCTTTTAATTTTTCCTTTTCGAGATCTTTTATTTCCTTTTTTATTGATTTGATATCCTTTTGTAAATTATTCTCAGTTTCACTCAAATCTTTTTTGGAATCATTAGACGGTTTAATGATAGGCGGTGTGAATGGAATATTTGTTTTGATAGTTCCGATTTTTTCAATTTCCTCTTTGGTAACTTCTTTACCCTTGATAATCTTATCTAATATTTCTAACGATTCTTTTTTAATATCTGGATGTAAATTCAAGATTGAGATAAGGTAAGCTAAGGGATCCTTATCTT